TGAAACTATAGTAAAGAACAGAATTATCAGACACATAGATGAACACATTTTTCTTCACACATAGATGATCATGTCCAATCCCATCTCTTTGGCCCTCCAAGGCCTCACATGGTGTTTTGTAAAGGGAAATCACGTCTCACCAATCTATTAGAATTCTTTGAGGGGGTCAGCAAATGTGGATAAGGGTGAGCCAGTGGATATTGTGTACTTGGACTTTCAGAAAGCCTTTGACAAGGTCCCTCACCAGAGGCTCTTAAGCAAAAGAAGCTGTCATGGGATAAGAGGGAAGGTTCTTTCCAGGACCAGTAACTGGTTAAAAGACAGAAAACACAGGGTAGGAATACATAGTCAGTTTTCAGAATGGAGAGAGGGAAATAGTGGTGTCCCTCAGGGGTCTGGACTGGGCCCATTCCTATTCAACGTATTCATAAATGATCTGGAAAAAGGGGTAAGCAGTGAGGTGGCAAAGTTTGTAGATGATACAAAACTACTCAAGATAGTTAAGTCCAAAACTGACTGTGCAGAGCTACAAAGGGATCTCACTAACCTGGGTGACTGGGCAACAAAATGTATTCAGTGTTCTTGTAGCCATGTCGGTCCCCGGATATTAGAGAGACAAGGTGGGTGAGGGAATATCTTTTATTGGACCAACTTCTGCTGGTGAGAGAGACAAGCTTTCAAGCTACACAGAGCTCTTCTTCAGGTCTGGGAAAGGTGCTCCCAGTGTCACAGCTAAGCAGAAGGTGGAACAGATAGTTTAGCATAAGTAGTTAGCACATATTCTAAAGGACCATTCGAGGTGGAGTAACATGTTAACACCCCGGTAGTCATAGGACAAAAAGAGGGCTTTAGGGGGTTACAGATTGTTGTAATAAGCCATAAATCCAGTGTCTTTATTAAGACCGTGGTTTTTAGAGTCTAGCAAAATGACGAATGTAAGTTCCAGGCGTGCTTTTGGAAACTGCTGTGCAGGTTTCCTTTGAGGACGAGGACTCAGAGGTTGGATATAGTGATCGCTTTGTGAGAAGTGTTCACCCACAGGTGATGGGAGACTTCATCCAAGAGTGCAGAGATTGTCTGGTTCCACCCACACCGTTGTTATTGGGGCAGTTAGGGCACTGGAAGTCGTACACCATGTGTTGTGATAGGCATGTATCGGACCCATGGGTATGGGCAACAAAATGGCAGGTGAAATTCACTCTTGAAAAATACAACGTAATGCACATGGGATTATGTTTTCCAAACTGTACATATAAAATGATGGGGTCTAAGTTAGCTGTTACCACTCAAGAAAGAGCTTTTGGAGTCATTGTGGATAGTTCTCTGAAAACACCCACTCAATATGCAGCAGCAGTCAAAAAAGCGAACAGAATGTTGGGAATCATAAAGACAGTGATAGATAATAAGACAGAAAATATCATATTGCCGCTATATAAATCCATGGTGTGCCCACATCTTGAATACTGCGTGTAGTTCTGGTCACCCCATCTCAAAAAAAGATCTATTGGAATTGGTAAAGGTACAGAGAAGGACAACAAAAATGACAAGGGCTATAAACAGCTTCCATATGAGAAGAGATTAATAAGCCTGTGACATTTCAGGTTGAAAAAGAGATGAGTAAGAGGGATTATGATAGAGGTCTATAAAATTGTGACTAGTGTGGAGAAAGTGAATAAGGAGGGTTATTTTCTCCTTCTCATAACAAAAGAACTAGGGGCCACCCAATGAAATTAATAGGCAGGAGATTTAAAACAAACACAAGGAAGTATTTCTTCACACAACGCACAGTCAACCTGTGGAACCAGTTGCCAGGGGATGTTGTGAAGGCCAGAACTATAATGGGATTCAAAAAAGAATTAGATAAGTTCATAGAGGTTGGGTCCATCAATGGCTGCTAGCCAGGATGGGCAGCAGAGACACAACCCCCTGCGCTGGGTGTCCCTAAACCTCTGACTGCCAGAAGTTGGGAGTGGACGATAGGGGGTGGATCACTCGATAAATTCCCTGTTCTGTTCATTCCCTCTGAAGCACCTGGCATTGGCCACTGCCAGAAGACAGGATACTGGGCTAGATGGACCATTGATCTGACCCCGTATGGCCGCTCTGAAGTAAGTGCCTTACATTATAGCACAATGGTGCATTGGGTCATTCTTTTCAAAGTTATCTGCAACCATGAGGAACTCCATGAAAGCGAGGGGTCTATGGAAAGTAAAGTGAAACGAAATCGCTAAGGCAGTGAAAGCGTATCCATTGGATGCATGGTTATTGTCCCCAGCTCTTCCTTCTTCAAAACACCTCCCCAAACTTTGGGGGAAGTTGGCTGTTGTCAGACAACAGGGCAGCTCTGAGTTACAAGAAGCTGAAAGAAGAGAGGAAGCTTTTCATTCTTTGTAAAACTTCCTACCAGTCACCGGACCATGCCCAATTGGCAAGGGCTGGCTGTGTTATCTTTGTCCTCACTGAGATCCGGTGCCGTGGGCTGTCCGGGACAGGAAGTGCTGAGCCGGATCAGTCTCTCCTGTGGAAAGCCCTGATGGAAGGGGTAAGGGGGTGGGGGGGCATGAGGTTTTCCTTCCAAATTGCTCCAATGGTGGGATGGATTTGCCCCACAGACAGACCACAGGGCCTGTCTGCAAAGCCAGCAGTTCCCCAGGAGTTGCATCAGCCCGTCTGTGGAGGTTCTGGGTGCTGGTCGCCCCTGGCTCGCTGGCAGTCTGGCTCTTTGGAGTTGTGCTGCCAGGCCTTTCCCCACCAGCCGAGCACCCAAGGTCGCCCCGCGCAGGAGGATCCCGGCCACACTGGTGGTGGTGCCCCGTGTGTACGGGAACAGCCAGAGATACCACCTAGCCTCTGCCAATGCTAGAGCCGCTGCCCTGGCACGGCAGAGCCCACGTGCTGCATGGGAGACTCTCCCCCCCGGAAAAGCCCTAAAACGCAGCCTATGAGGTCACAGGGGGAGAAATAAGCCTATTCCCCCGGAGCCCAGCCTCATTGCTGCAGCCCCTCCCCCTCCAGAAGGCAAACCAGGCCGACGGGCCCCAGGCAGGGAGGGGGAGAGCTGTGGCGCCATTGCCCAGTCCCATCTTTTTGGCCCTCCAAGCCCTCACCTGTGCAGATGATGGAGACTCCACAGCTTTGGGGTGCGGGATGGGGTGGGAAGGGGCAGGGCAGGGCAGGGGACAGCCACTCTGTGCTGCCTGCTCCATGGGGGAACGAGTGGAAATCCACCCCACAGCTGCAGCAGGGGGAAGGCTGGTGCTGCAGGGAGAACCCAGGGCAATGCCGCTGCATAGGAGCCATGCTGTTGGGATGGGCAGGGCAGGCAGTAGGCAGAGGGAAAGGCGCCCCACAGGGAGCCTCGGGGCAGCTTCCAGTTCCCCACTGATCTGCTCCCCTCCACGGATGTCGTCCCTTCGCACCACAAGCACTGACCCAGAGTCCTGGCCACCGGCCATGGGTGAAGTCTGCACTGGGTGCGCCAGCACCGGAGCCGGATGGCCGCAGCCGTGGGCCCGTTATGGGACCAGAGAGCACGGTCTGTCTGAGCAAGGGCAGCTACCTCCTAACGAGACCACAAGAGGAGCGAGAACATTTCAGGTTTGTATTCTGGGCAGCAGGGCCCAGCCAAGCCAGGCCTCAGTGCTAACACTGCCGACGAGCGCCCCCCTCTCTCACCGCCCCCGGCTCTCCAGCAGCTCCAGCACCAAC